TAAGTGTGCATTTATATGCAAAATACAATTTCAGTATAATAATCAGATTGACATAAAATATATAAAATGTATCGTCTCTGGGAGGTTATTTTATAATGTGTATACATGTGTATGGACTTCACCTCTAATAAAAATAAATGGCAGCATAAAATAAAATAAATTCAGTATTCTATAGTAATCTAGTAAATACTAATAAGAAAAAAATCGCATCCTGCTCTTCCATGTTGTTAAGTAGAAGGAATAAACCACCGGGAAAAAAATATAATAGTTTAATCCAAACCTTCACGGTATCCGTATAATATGTAATATAAACTATAAATACGCAATAGTGTAAATAATAATTAATAATAATATATTGTATGTAAAATGTAATTATTAAAGATTAAAATTATCACTCCGTTATTAATGTGGTGATAAAGTGAAGTATTAAAATGTCGTCGAAATAATCATATGATTTAAAGAGACTTTGTCATACGATCAGTAGTACCTATGCGAAAAACTATTTTTCATTTGTTATGTTAAACCCAAATTAGTTTACCAGATAAAAATATTAATATAGAATGATATTATTTTGTGTCGCAATAGCACACGTGTGATTAATGTTAGTTAAAGCTTTTGTCTTTTCTACGTTATCACCGCATAAAAGTCAGACAAGATGCAAAGGGTAACGACCGATATTACACTAATGCCTATTATGTTTCGTTTGATTATTTCAGCTTTTGGCACGATGTATCTATATAAGTACAATATACATAATATTATGTACAGTAGAAACCGTTTATAATGACACCGGTTGTAGTGACATATTTGGTGTAATGACCTTAGATTAAATGTCCCGGCAAAACTCCGATATTGCATGTACTTATTTGTATCGGTTATTATGAGGTCTATATAATGACTATACGGATGTTATGAAGGTTATTTTTGGTTATATTGGAAAAATATTTTATCTATAATGACTTTACTTTTAAATGAATATGTTAACTTTGATAATGATGTGCCAACTTCAGAACCATTAAGTGATCGAGAACTTATTTCTTCATTGATTAATCAACCCGAAGAACCTGAGGAAGACAATAATAGTGATGAAGCTGATACTCCCGATGAAGATTTATCCATTAATGCAGTGTTTAATGCAGCAAAAACGTTAACGAATTATATGGCTCTGAATAACGTAAATCCAAAAATAAATTTTGAAGAACTAGAAAAAAAAATAGAGCGTGATTTTTATACTAACAAAGTTCAATCTAAAATTACAGATTACTTTAAATAATAATTGAACTAATTATTTTAAATATGTATGTACATAATTAAATGTTTTTATGTTTACTTTTTTCTATATAATACATTGGATAAATAAATAATAATAATAATATTATGTACTTATTGAAGTTACAATTTTTTTTCGTCATTTTGGTTATAATGACAATCGGTTAATATGACCTATTTTCTTTGGTCCCTTGAACGTCATTATAAACGGTTTCTACTGTATTATTATTTTATTGTTGGACGGGCGTAAATTTCATCGACATGGAGCGTTGAAATTCCACCTATTCAAAATGTACCGAGTTCTGTAGTTTTAAGTATTATAGTTTTCGTTTATAAGTTATACAATCAATTTTTGTATAATATATTAATGTTGTTAAACCATATTATATGCGCTATACAATTTTGTCAGAATATCGAAAACATAAGTATATTATAAAGCTATTTTATATTATAGAAGTGAATTTTTTAAATTTATCTTACCATGCATCGGTGTTGGATGTCGTACAGTAGCGAGACAATTTAATTTTTGGAAGTCTGACGAGATAAAACTGCCGTTAGGACTTGGGGAGACTCGACTTATGCGAGGGCAAGTATATATTTTTAAAAATATTTATAATATTATATACATATACAAGCGCAAGACTGAAAGAGAGAAAAGTTTCGCGATATTTATGGCTTGCGAATGCTTATAAGTATATATTCTACCAAAAATATTATGCGCTGCTGCTGCAGGTGGCGATTCTGCTTAATTTCACAGATTAATCGCGTGGACACGGTTGTGCTAAAATAACTTTTCGCATTACGTCCATTACGATGTAAAAATAATATTAAAAATAAACGAAATGAGATCGTATCTCTATCTGCAACACGCCGCTGCGGATCACGCACTTTGTCTGTCCTTTGGCGACACGCGTCCGCGGGCTTCGTCGGGGTTTTCTCATGCGTATATATATATTATATACTGAATACTCGCTTGTTATATATCATATCCGGTGCGGCGACCGTAGAGCCAAACAAAAAGAAGAAGAAAAAAGGAAGTAAGACACAGAAACTTTTAATTCGCATTTATTGCGCTCGCCGGAACAAACTTGTGCGTGTGTATACGCTCGGAAACCCTGTCTCTCTCCCTCCTTCTTACAACCTCCACACGGCATGGTGAACGTGTTGGCTGAAGAGTGGGTCGAGGGCTGAAACGCGAACAGTCGTCCAAATGTGTTTTTTCACAAAGTCGGCGTCGGAACTATTCATTCAATTTGAGACACATGATACATTAATAATATTATAATACCTATACGGGCCTTTCGCCCGAAAATAGTAATATAACTTATAAGTGTGTATATTCATTTATATGTTGTCTGTTGCAGCTCTCTTTCATCCAGTTGAACAAACAAAAGTTTTCTGCCGCCGTCGATGACGTTAACAATAATATTATGGTCTAGCGGTCTAGCCGGTACCTTTAAATTAATATAATAATAATATATATTAGAGCTTAATATTTTGTTATATACTTATATATCACGTGACAAAACCGATAAAAATGAGAGTGAAAGGAAATGGACCATAACCGTACTCGCTCAAGAGTATAATATAAGAACTAATGATCGTTTTACAATGATCATCGTAATACATAGTATTATAGTAAAATGAATTCGAAAAAAAACCAACTACGATGCATTTTATGCACCAATGATTGAAATTATTGGTCTGTACTTACACATAAATCCTTATTTTTTACCACTTTTCACTAACCTTATCAATAAGGAATTTAGATTATTCGGCTTTAAAAGTAGAATCGTCCTTTATTCTTGTAATAATATTGTGACAATGTGTTTCATACATACACTATACACAAAACTACGCTATCAGTGTTCTATGCTGCAACATAGATTAATGCAGTGTTGGAGTTGAATTAAGAAGGCGGTGATTTTCTTATCCTCCAACGCAAAAAGTCGAAAGTTAATTTTTCAACTAAAGATTAATTATTACAATTTAATAGTTGTATGTTATAAGTTATAACAATCAACAAAGTAACCAAAAAAAAAGAGGAAATGAAATTTTTATGAAGTTAAGTAATTCATAAATATAGTCATATAGATAATATTTTTTTTTTCATTCACGGTTTGCGATTGCTGGGAATTTCATTTCGACATCCATATGTATACTAGAGCTAGAGACCAGGGTTTTGGCATCAAAATTGCCTGATATCCTAATCAGTTATCATTACTTTTTGGAAAAGCCAATAATACTGTATACCTACCTAATGCAAACCACAAATCACAATATTAAATAATTTATATCGTTTTATCACAGAATATTCTATACCTACTTTTAAAAAGTATTTAAAAATAAATAAAAATGAAAATTTGAATAATATTTTTTTTAATTAATGCTGCTAGAAACTTCCATGGCCCACCGCCTTTACCAGTCGACTACAAAGATAACCAAATGATAGAAAATAATTAGAAAACAATAGCAAGTTGGTTTTAAAAATAATTATAAAATCACCTTACTGTTAAAAAATTAAATTTTGACTTTGGGGTCCGAGTTCAGGTACCCTACTCACTTTTTCCTATCTAACACTGCAGCGGTGTGCTACTTGTAAATACCCCTTGCAAAGGTCACGGATTTGTCACTCTTCCAGACACCGAATTAAGGTTTTTTTTTTTATTCCATCAATACATTTTTACTTTTTTAATCACCTTACAGTTGTGTTACAAAATACATCTTTAATTTCACTGAAAATATTAATATGTAAAACGTTCAACATTTTATTTGCACTATTATCATAAGTAGGTATCTACATATTTTATCAGATTAAATATTTAATCTTATTTGCTTGTTCATATTATGTAGAATGTGTGCATTATTATTTAATTGTACAAATTGAACTATTTACGATTACCCGTCACAGATACCATACATGTTCTGTATACATTTTCCTTTATTTTGTCTTCTAGTGGAAACAAACAAGTTGTTTCAATTTGGTTTACACACTGGGAGTGCTCCAAAAACATAAAGTAATACTAACGTAATTCTGCATAATTTATGTCAAATATCTATTAGCAAACGAATCTATAGCTTCATTTCAATGCCTAAACTAATGACACGTTTGGACATGTCTACTTAGATATAATCCGTATTATATAATTTACAGGGTAATTTACATTCTACATTAAATTATTCAACTTTGGTTATTATTTATGCTTAAAATGTATGTATTTTATATCAGTAATACTAACACATATTAATATAACAATTCTATAATGTTAAAATATACGAGTATGTTTTTTTGGTTTTTTGGACGTAAATTCGTAATTTTATTAAATTTGAGGTACCTACATCAAACGTATAAGCTCGGAATAGTTTTGTTTATATGATAGGTACGTTGTAGTTAAATACTTACTTACTTACTTACTTACTTACTTACTTACGAAAACTAAGTCTCTTTAATATGAATGTATCAACGATACATATACACCAATAGACTACAGATTAGGTACCTTAAAAGTTAAAATACTAGATATTATTTAATATGAACTATTTACTATCAACACAAACATTTTACTATGACGTGGGAATAAATAGACAGTAAATGTTTTTATATCTCTAGGTTTATTATTATAAAATAATGTCTTCCAGTGATGAATGATAATATTATTATTATTATTTATTAATGATTTATTAACAATAATTAACGAATACAAATATTTAATAAATTGATAATATTCGTGTTTATAGAAACAGAGACTCCTCCATTTCGTTACAATGTTATTGATTCTCATTATTATAGATATAATTGATATGGTTCGTTAAAGAGATCACCACGAGTAGATCCTTGGTATGTAGGTACTTATGTAGTATTCTGTTATAGATAAAACATAACAATTATATTATAATAGAGTTAAAAAGAACAATTAAATTGTATGAATATAAATTATCCATTTAAATCATACTTAATATACAATACGTTTCAAGGACGCTTCAACTCAATAATGTAAACTTGGCAGCCAAATATTTCATTTGATTTCGAATAAAACATACGAAACTTGTATGTTCCATAAAAAAATGATTTAGGAAAATTGGATTTATCGAACAATGACAGATCAAAACCAGGACTTTTATAAACACCCTGAAAATATTAAAATAAGTAAGTTTACTAAGTTTAGAAACCAAGTGTTATTATTAGTTAATAATTATTCATAGTTTATTCAATGGTTTAATTATTTTAAATTATAAATTTAACATTATTTACGATCAACAAATTGTATGACATTGTGTACAACATTTATTAGGAAATAATTCTTTGGTAATATTCAAGTATAGAGAGGAACAAATAATAAGAAATGTAATGTGTGATAAATCCAGCATAATCCGTTCGTTAGTCGGTAAAAAATAATCGATACTAACAAAAACAAAAACAAAGCGAGGAAGGGCAAGTTCGGGTGTGATAGTCCCGGTGGTACCTAAACAGCCCCATCGAAAAAGGTACCACGAATACGTTAATTCCCAAACAGCCGAGGTATTCGAGGATAAGAATTCTTAACCTAAAACTGTTCTCACATGACTCGTGTACTTCACGAGTACCATAATCACCGATGTTGTCATATGTTTTAAGGGTAATGTTTATAATTTACTTCAATACAAATATTTAAAAAAAACCCTAACTCATTTTATTTATGATTTACAATACCGACGATTTTTTATATAATGCCAATTTTCATAATATACTTACAATATACATGTACAGCCTGGGAGCGTATGATAAAAATAATACGCGTGCCCGGTTACCCATAAAGCACGATATGAACACACCGACCGACCTGTGTACTTTGTGTGTGTATATGTATATATAGCACTCGACAGGAGGTGGACAGGGTCGCCGAGCAAAACCTGTGAGTGCTAGTGTGAGGGTGGTGTGTATGTGTGTATATTTGTGAGTGTGTAAGACTTATAACTAGATGACAAGGTAACTCTGAAAAAAATGTTTTTAGTATGGACCTTATACTCATAGACGGAGCATCCCGGTGGAATGAGGGCGGGTGGTGCGGTTTGATACAACTAGTATGCAGTGATGTCAATTCTCAAGTACAAAATATTGTTAAAATAAAATAGTAAATAACTATTGTATTAATTAATAATTATAATCCTATAATGTTATTAATTAATACAGGGCTCGGACAAGTACTCAAAGCTTAATTACAGAATAAAATAATAGTAGCCTAGTAGGCGTCGTAGGTAAATAGTAAATACTAAATATTTATGGGGACGGGTACAGATTTCCCGATTTTGATAAGCGAAAAAATTATAATGATAACTCGATATACCACAACTCGTACCAGAATATACCAAAGATCCAGCAGTGACACCACCAATAAGAAATAATTTACAGTGATGCCTTGTTAGCGGCACTCGTCGCTACGCTCCTCGGCGCCGTCGCTCCGCTCCGCAAATCGAAAATATCCCTCGACTTGCTATGCAACACCACCTCAAGTTGGTCACTGTGTAACCGATGTTATAACAAAGAACAACCACTCTTATCATTTAAGCCAAAAGCTTATCACTACCGCTATCAAAATCGGGAAATCTGTCCCGGCCCCAATATTTATGTTGACGATGATACTTTTGATAATACGATACGATAATAATTACTATCGCAGTTTATGTAAACACAACCTGGTTTGTCCTACATGCATGCGCAGAAGTATGGAACAAAATGTGCAGCGCAGCCACCGTTTGCTACGGGAACTAGGTACTAGCTTGTTCCGACTATGAGTATAAGATCTATGGTTTTTAGGTACATCTCTTTCGAGACAGTTCTAAGTCTGTATGAAGTGAGAAGGAACTTGTGGTGTCAAAAACTAGCGCCATTGAGAAATTGACCTTTTTGTAAAACGGGGGTCGAATGAGCTGTAGCCGATGGTCTGCGTGAGAGAGACGAGACTTAAGGAGAACATTGGCTCTTAAGAGGTATTTAAAATTTGTCTTTAGGGTTGTTTTACTCTTTTCTTCTTTTTCATGTTTATTAGTGAATAAAATCTGTATATTATTATACAACCTTTTTTAAATATGTTTAAACGATGTGAGGAGTTATATTATAGCTGCATATAGGATCAAAGGAAACCTCCACGAACCTAGCCCACTCATATACGTGTTAATCTATTAAACACAGACAAAAATAGCGAATGATTATTATAGCCTTATAACAAATAATAGCAAATCATTTATTTTTTATAAGTTATGGTTAATAATATTTACCATAACTTATAGTACATTATGATGTACTATTTAATTTTTCAAAATATAATCTGAATATTAAAATCAATAATTACCTATGGCTTATACTCGTCCATCGAACGATGAAAATGGGTGCAAAAAATGCAACACCCAACCGTACCATTCTAAATATCGAGACTAGTTCCACTATGGCAGGGTGTCATGTGTGGATTCTCAGAGTAATTGAAAAGTTCAGAAATCTATCGTTGGACAAATAATAGACGTAATATATAACATGTCTCACTACTAAAATAATTTAATGTATTTTTACATGAGAATTACACTTTTCCCCCTTTGAATTTTGCTATTTTTACTTCTCTATCATGAATTACGCCATTTTGATCTTTTGATCACTGTTTTTGTTTTATATAATACATAATCGCCTTTATTTTAATAAAACTGGTATAATATTTTTCTAGCAAATCAAATTGTTGTTTATATATTAATAACTAAATACAATATTTTGATGTGAGAAATTCAATTTTTTACCGGAAGTATTGGGCACTCAGTATTTTGAATTCCATTACCATGTAAGAATAATTTCCATGTATTTCCCATAAGTTTTTTGAATGACGAACACGCCTTCGATACTTTATGCATAAATACATTTTCTTTCCAATTTCCAAACGAATCTTTGACAGACATTGACATTTCCAACTGCAAAAAGAAATCTTGTCAGTAAATCGATTATATTAGTTTTACGGATCTGGAAAATGTGTATTTGAAAAAAATCTTTTTATTAACTTTATATATTATGAGGTGTAATTTCTGTATCATCCAAGACAAAGCGTAACTGGAGTTTTGATCAAAGTTACACAGGTTAGATTTAAATACACTTCAACATAATAATAATTATTGATATAATATTATGGGATGTAGCAAAAAAATGTAACTACTATAGGCATAAGTGGTGGCGTATTAATATAAATTACTTTATAATTGTATACGATTTAGAGGGGATGGGATCGGTGGAAAACCCCTAACTTATGCGTACAAAAATATGCGTTTGAAATACTTATAATGCCAAAAAATACAGTAAGTATCATATCTTAAAAGTCTTTTCAGATGAAATTCAACCCGCCTCATCCAAATTCAAAGAACTACAGCATGCTTACGTTGGTATCGTTATAAATGACCAATGTGCTGTTATGATTGTGTGTATAGATTTTACAATAAATCTTAAATATTGAATTAATATTAGAAAGCTAATAATAGTAATAACTATATTACATGTAAGTATGTAACACTAACATACGGGTAGGTACAACATCGATTAAATTATAACAACTTACGAAGAAAGTGTCGTCCAAAGGTATTTCAAGAGTAGTATTTCCGAAAATCCATGTTGAATTGGCTTTGTGACTTAAATACAAGTAATGTTGGATTTTATTATTCTGTTTAGGATTGCAAATATAAACTTGTTTGAAGACTACTCGGTAAGGACCCTAAACAAAAAATATTTATCAATGCATAATATATTGAATATTATATTATTACTATACTCCTTTTGCGAACCAAAATATGTTCGCCTGACTCAAATTGGCGCTGATTGGTTTACAAACCAGAAAATAACGCAACTATAATAAGATTGAGGCGTGGAAACCGGTCCACCGCCTGCTTGTCGAGGTGTGTTCTTATTCTGTGACTAGTACATTACAATAGGTATTTTTTTCATTTAAACATAAGCATAGTAACATTATTATGTAACGTTCGCATACATTTATAAAATAAATAAATATTAGCTTATTATAAATTATACATTTGACAATGTATCACTGTATTACTGTATATTTATTACAAAATAGCCTATTGCATTTTATGCGCCATTTACATAATTGTAAAGCAAAATATACAAATTGAATGCAGCACTTATAAAAACATTAAAATAAAACACAATGTTCAGGACCAAAATAACACGAGGTTTCGAATTTCACAACAAGATGATCATTACAATAAACAACTTGGTCATTATTCAAAACTTTAAAACGAAATATTTATAGAGTAATATTATTTATAGAATTTGTTATAGTATGAACACTATCAATAGCGTCTTCTATCATTTAGTTTGGTTTCGCAACTTTGTTGTTTAGTATTATTATATTTTCAAGCAGTGTCAATGTATGTTATCCAAATACAAAAAAACATCAACCATTTCAATTAACCAATTCATTATGATTTAGATTCTATGTTCCATATTATAGAATTATACAAATTATAAGTTTGTGTTTATCGACTTTAATATATATATATATTTTTTACTTTTACTTTACTTTTTTATTTATTGGTTCATTAATTAAGTAGGTGTATACCATTTTTGCACATGACTATATAATATAGTATTATTGCAATACCTGTTTATAAAATTGTGCAATTAATAAATTAAAAAAATATCTTAGCAATCCACTTACGATTGGAGAACTCAAAAGCGGGTTTGAATTGGCAGACCATCCCGAACAAATTGTCATCAACAGTTGTACAAACATGAACAAAGTATTGTACGTCATGGTTTCTTTTTTTGATTTTGTTTGTTCTCGATGATAATTCAAACAGTCAACAGACACTGTTGTACTGAAATTGTAAAACAAAATATCACAAAGCCTACAGGTACTAATAGTATTATTGATTTTAGAATGATAGAAAGCATACATTTTTTCGATGTTTTATTTGCATTGTAATATCAAACATTTGATAAAGTTATTGAATTTATTTTTCCATTATCGTACATCAAAACATGTAAAAAAATATCACAATGATATTATATAATAAACGGATATGGTATGGTTGACTAATTTTTTTAAAGTACCTACATTTCAAAAAATTGACACCAAATTATGAATATTCGTACACGATAATATGTAATATTATAGGTACAATAAGTACGTACATTATTATCGATGGATGGTTTTATCTCGAGATCAGAATACTGTTGTCGTTACGATACATTTTTAATATTTCACTAAAAATATAAATAAAACATTTTACGTTTTTTTTGCATTATTTTACTATAATATACATTGGACAATTTAATCTATAGCATTGTTCCTTCTATGAAGAATAGTATGCGTACTATACACAAATGAAAAATGTAAAAGAAAAAGATTAATCGTCAAAGATATCATACACGGCCTGTGTAAGCTTAACTCTTTTTTTTTGATAAATTGTTCCAATGCACCAATTATGAAGTTATTAGCCAGATTTAAATATTTGAATTTTAATTACATTAGGTACACTAAATTAAATTACATTGAATAACAATAATCAAAATAATTGATCAATAATTACATTACACCACTATTATATTGGTAGATTTTTTTTAAAAGAAATATTATTAAATAAGATATGAGTATCTACATGTTTAGTTCCGGTTTGAGGCTTTTTTTTATGAACTGGTGGCATTCCGGATACCTAGTATGTGTTCGACCGTAATGGTTGTTCTGCTAGTACGGCATAAGGGTATTTTATCTTTGGCCATAAGGTGGCAGTGTGTCACGCGAGTGTGGCCTATTTGTAGGCGGCAAAAAAAACCTCGTCCCTTCTGTACATCTTGTATAGTTTGAGCCATGGTAATATTTTTTGCTTTGTTTCTATTAGCTTGTTATTATTACAATTTGTCCAGAGGGTTTGACATTCGTCCATATATACTTGAATTTAATTGAATTTCGAAAGTCATGATTTGTCATGTGAGGACAATAATTATATTAGGACATACTTCAAAAATAGAGGTGCGTGTAGCTTCTTTAGCTTTAAAATCAGCGTTTTCGTTAACTATTGTCACGGGATCCTCTCTTTTATTTTATCTTCGAGTGAAAACAAAAATATTTTTTTCAATTTTGTGGACAGAAAGGCACAAACAAAAGCAAAGGCCAGAGCACAGTGTACACGTTGGCGTAGTTATATAAATTACCTGTATGTATTATTATGATGTGTGTAAGTATGTATTTTACAATAAACTGTCATTAGTATATAAATTTCACCAAGCAAATAACTATAAAAGATATAGCTTAAACCTACAGTTATACATCGTACAGTGTAACATTGATTGATGAAACCATAGCCTCTTACGAAAAAAGTGTCATCAAAAGGTATTTTTAAAGCAGTATTTCCAAAAAGCCATGTTGAATTTTCTCTGTGACTTGTACAGTTATATACATATTATGTTGGATTTTATTATTCTGCGTAGGATTGTGTATAAACTTGTTTTTAGACTATTCTGTAAGGGCCCTAAACAGAATTATAAATCAATGCATACGATATTTCTATACTCGCTGCTTATCAAAATAGGTTTACTACGAGCAGGTTGGCTCTGATTGGCTTACAAAACCATAACGAATGTTGGCAGTGCCCAACCATAACAAGGTTTCGGTGTGGAAACCGGTCCACCACTTGGATGACGAGGTACGAGTTTATAACAGGTATTTTTTCATTAAAACCAAGGTCATTGATATTCTGGTACCACAAGTGTATGAAATAAATGTATCCTTCTCATAATATTGCATTATCGTAAGAACGAAAATACAATTTTTGAAAAAAAGGAATAAGGCAATTTTTTTTTTTGAAAACACCATATATTTAATAAATCATATTAAAACTGTAATTAATATACAATATGTTTCAAGGACGTTTAAATTCTACAATGAAAAGTAGGCAGCCATATAATTCATTTTTTAGAGTGTAAAACGTATACAATTTATATTTTCCATACAAAAATGTTTTTGGAAAGTTGGTATCCTTAAGAATCTCCTGATCAATACCTTGAGATATATAAGTACCCTGAAAGTAAAACATTAAGTATACAAAGTAAATACACAAATTATATTATTAGTCATTCATAGATTATATTTGTAAAATTATTTAATAAATTTGAATCATTTATTAAATATTATTCATGATGATGACAACCGTAATGAATATATTATAATCTATGCTATGTGAATAAATTGATTAATTTGACATCAATCAATATTGATGTCAATTTATTAATTTTTTTTAATTTGAAATCATTGTAAGTTACACAAAGAAAATATTAATTTTATTTACATGATTATCTATCTTTTTTCAGCTATAATAGCTTGTGTTCGAGATAGAGAAGAATACATAAATAATTAATAACTATTTATTAATAACATTTTAAAAGACATAATACGAATTATTATTTAGATAACACTATAACAGAATAAATTCAAACTTGTGTACAAAAAAGAAGAAAACTAAACAATTAAAAATAAAAACATTATGAAGACATAACTCATTTTAATTTTGAGTAAGTACTCATATGATCTATAGGACTGCAGTAATTGTGGCCTGTGTTTTGTTATCCAAGCTCAAAAAATCATTATTTTGTTATTAATATTCTTATTATTTACAATTAATCCTGTATTTTATATGAAATAAACTGGGAAAATACTTCTAAGATCAATCTATTTGTATGCTAATAAAATAACTAAATACGATTTTTCAATGTTAATAACTTATGCTTTTACCGGCAGTATAGGACATCCGGTATTTTGATTTCCAGCGCCATTAATAAACGCATTCCAAGGTTTTCACATTATTTTTTTTAGTGATGAGCAAGCATTTGGTACTTTATGCGTAAAAACATTTTCTTTCCAATTCCCAAGTGAATCTTTCATAGCCATTTTCATCTCCAACTACAAAAAGTTTTAATAGGTAATTGATGACTGGAATAGGTTTTTGAGAACATACATAATATTTTATATCCAAAAACTCCCGTGCATATTTGTGTGTATATGATTAACTGTCAGGTAGGACAAGGAGTAACTTCAGTTTAACCAGGTTAGATTTAGATGTATGTTATTAATATGATTATTCAATGGAATGAGACAAAATTTCATAAATTTAGTAATTAACCATGACATATACATAACTTTTGTGGAAGGTTGGTGTTAAAGCTAAACAAAAATTATTCTTAAATTTTTTTTTAATCATCATTATTGAATTTATTTCAGTGAGTCGTATTTAACAGGTAAATTGAAATTTCAAACATACTAGTAATACATCGATTTAATTATAACAACTTACGAATAAAGTGTCATCAAAAGGTATTTCGAGAGTAGTATTTCCATAGAGGAATGTTGAATTGGTCCAGTGACTTAGATACATGCTATGTTGTATTTTATTGTTCTTTGCGGGATTGCAATTATAAACTTGTTTGACAATCAATTTGTGAGTACCCTAAACAGAAATGTTAGTTGATGCACAAGATCTCAGATCTGTTATATTATTTAATTATGATTGTTTTTTTCCTTATTAAAAGGAATACGTTATAATATTATTGTGTATGTTTAATAAAATTAGCCTCCCATGCTGATTGCAGAACTGAGTGAACAAATGGTAACCTTTCAACACTTCCGGGCCAAATAACGCCAGCTCTTAACTTTAACTTCGTTAACATAACTATAATATATTACTTAATACAATATTCATAGATAACTGTTACCAACGCATAATAGTAGTGCTGAGTATCCCATTTTAACAATGAATAATGTTTAAAATTGTAATATTTCATGTAGAATATAAATCACTTATAATTCTAAATCTTAAAAGTGGACGATTTTAAACGGCTTCAAAGGAAGGGAGACTGAGTACCCCAGGGCCCCTAGTTTAATCATTACGTCTTATAAGTTTTATACACGTATACGGAACATCGTATTATTATCAAGTAATTTGTTACTATACAACTAAATACTTTAAACATTTTGACGAATTTAAAAATTTTTATTTTTGTGTCAAGTATTACTTTTGACGTTCCCGCTTCAATATAAATGTCTAAAGTTTATTAGATTTCTCTAATTTTATGACATTTAAAAAGTAAACAATTCTTAATATTTTCCAAAACCTGAAGAAACTCCATCTTATTTAGTTTTTGACGATATCAATTTGGTTTTTTTGCCGTTATTCAAAAATCAATTACTAATGAGATGTGTTCATTTTTTAACGAATATTTATATTAGCATTTATACTAGACTTGATTTCATTTTGTAAATATTTTGATTTTGTGCTATTTTATAATTTTTCAACCATTTTCGAGTTTGGTATTAAAAATACATTGTCAAAATGAAATTTTATAAGCGTATAAAGTTTTTACTAAATTCTTCGGTCACGAAAATATCTCAAACAGTTTGTAGTAAAAATGAATATAATAATAGGTTTAAACGCCTGTAACTTCAAAATTGAATAGTTTATACCTTACGTGGCGTAGCCAGGATTTTTTTTAGGGGGGGGGGGCTGATCAAATGTTTACACAGCGGTGGTTTAGTTTTTGATCGAATACCATAGACCATAAAAATAATTTTTATATTTTATTAACATTTCGGGAAGGGGGTTAGGGCTGCAGCCCCCTCAGCCTCCCCCCTGGCTACGCCACTGATACCTTATAAATTCCTATAGTTGGAGTTTCAAACAAAATATCACTTAAGATTATTTAATATTTGTTTTCATTAAAAAATGGTTAGTAAACTAAACTTGGAAACATTCCGCCATTATTTAAATTTTCATATTGAATTTACAATAATATTTTCAAAGGATATAGAATAATTATATAATATTTATATACATTTTAATTCACTT